CGTTCCTTGCTGACTGACCACAGATTCTCGATTGGATTTAAATCAGGAGAGTTTCCAAGCCAGTTTATAGTACTTTGATTTTCTCACTGGTAAGGCTGACAATTTTCGGACGCTTCCTTGGAGTATCTTCCCTCACAGACAATGGTTATAGGACAACTAATCGACAGTCGGGACAGTAGTACTTAGGGGGTGATAAAAAAACTGCTGTAATTACGGATGACGCAATATTTTTCAAGGCCAAGCAAATTACATCATACACCCGAAAGCTTTCCTGTTTCAATACTATGATTGTACTTCTTCAGGCAAAGGTAAGTAACCCTACTTACTATCGCCTAAAAGAAAATGGTTAGTAACCCTCACTTACCATCGCCTGAATTACAATCAAAGTATTGAAACATGAAAGCTTTTGTAGCGATTTCAAAATGTTTTTAATATAATTTTTATAATAAAAATATAATAATAATATTTTGCTCTACTTTGAGCACTTTAAAAAACTGGAACTTTACACCATCTGTTCGTTCCTCATTATATATATATATATATATATATATATATATATATATATATATATATATATATAAAAGGCTCAAAACACTAATATTCCATGCTTATAATTTATTACGTTGGAATCGTAATCACGATCCAATTTATCAGACCTACAAATTCCTATAAATAATTTGTATACAAATATACAATCCATTACATTCCCTTACGTGGTAATACCCTTTGGGAAAAGTATGAATCCTCTTCTCCCTCCAGCTATGGGTAAATAGCAAAACAGACGGGGTTCTATAGCCTGGGATGGCAACTGATCTATAAGAAGAACAACTCTGAATTCAAAAACCTGCATACTGTCTTTTGGGGGACCTGCGGCACATTCTGCATCAGATCTCTGCATCCGACTCATCAAAATGTCTGATTGGTTCGGCACAAAGCCTTCACTGCTATAATCAAATCATATGCGCAATGGTCTGGCTGACCTAGGAAATGTAGTGCTTAACCCTCATACGTTGAAAAAACGAGGGGAGAGTCGAGTATATATATATATATATATATATATATATATATATATATATATATATATATATATCCATAACAGATCATAGCAGATCTATTGTAGCCTCCAAACTCCTGTTTTTCGGCTTTCATTCTGACATATATATATATATATATATATATATATATATATATATATATATATATATATATAAATCAGATTATACGATGGTTGCGGGTAGAACTTCCTTACAGTAATTTGATACACCCGATTTTGGATATATGGAGCCTTTTTTGACGAAGATTACAATTACTTCATGAAAGACAACCTTGTGAAAGGAAAGAACTTTTTCGCATGTCTAGACGTTGAATAATGCCTTTAATTATGCCTGATAGAAATCTGGAGATGTGCGGCTTGTATGGATAGAGAAATCGTACATCGTTCTACTACGTGATTATGAAGAAAGGTAAGTGCAGCTCACAGGCGATTCGGCTTAGTGTGAGATGCATACAAAATTCGCCAAATATCAATCATGGTGTTTCCAAGTTGTTTGACGATCACTCAGTAGACATAAATCTCACACGAGATTATTTTATAACAGTAATCAAATTTTCAAACTGGTTCGAATATTCTGAGGCTAATATTGCTTAGAAACCTCTTTCAGATTCCCAGGAGACATATATATATATATATATATATATATATATATATATATATATATATATATATATATATATATACATTTTTATTTTTATATACATTCTTTTATAAAAGAATATATATTCTTTTTCTTTTAAATTTGTCGGAGGACGAATATTTTCTATGAAAATTTCTCTCGGTCATTCAGGCCGGTAAATGTTGTTTAATACTGTTTATTATAAACAGAGCATTTACTTAAATATTTGTATCTATAAAAAAAGAATGTATAAACACAAAAATGTCTTAAAATAATTGTCAGACTTTGTCCATTTCATAATGTGTGACGTTATATATATATATATATATATATATATATATATATATATATATATATAAAAGAAATATAGTCTTAAGGTGTGCTATATTTATGGAATAAAGTGATCAATATCAGAGATAGAGCGTGTGTAAATAAAAAAGAACATAGAAGTTAACACTTAGAGGCGACAGTCTGTTTCATATGCTATATGCAATCGTCAGGCCACATATGTTGTTATTTTTCTCGGCTATATATATATATACGGGTTAGTGGTGCATCGTGGGTATTCTATTATGGTGGTTATTTTACCGGAAGTCGTTTGTTTATTTATTTGGGTCAAATTATTTTGCTCGTTTTTATTTTGTTTCTTATTTTATTTATTTATTTATTTATTAACGCAGTAAAGTTTGTTTATATCACTTATTTAACAGTTTTGTTTTGATTTGAGAATTTAATTAAAAGCTATTTGTTCAATTTTGGGGTTGATTGTTGTGGTTCATTCTAACTATTATTTTGGCGGGAACAGGTTTTAATTGATTATCTTTATTTGGGATTGGTTTGTTTATTTATTTACTTGGATGAATTTAGGTCAATTTATTTTACTTGTATATTTTCTCTTTTCGGTTTTCGGTTTTTAAACAACATAGTATTTATTTATTTTTATTTCTATTTTTTTTTTATTAGTATATTGTTTTTATTTTTTACTTTTCCCTCTAAGTGTTCTAAGACTTCTATGTTCACTTTTATATTTATATATGTATATGTATGTATATATGCATGTATGTATGTTTTTTGGTTATATTCTGTAAGTCTAAACCACGATTTGTTTTCATTTTTAATTATTTTCCTGAAAACAAATCGTGCTATAGACTCAGATAATATCACCCCAGAATATCCAAACATTCCGCTCTCCTTAAACCTAAATATCTATATATCTATATAATAGCTGGCCACTTGAATTCGAGGATACTCGTGTACTAAGGCGGCTAGCCAATCCCTATTGCAGACGCAGGATCAGGCACATTACTGTTTTTTTAACACCCACGTAGCCCACTTGCGGTTTATGCTGCAACTTTACTCAGCAGACCTTAGTTACATCTTATGGGAGAGCGTGTAACCTAACGTGAAAACAAATTGAACAAGGACAGCATTTTTTCTAAGGAAAATAACAAAACATTTTTTTATATTTGCGTTCATATATTTTCTAAGGAAAATAACAAATATTTTTTTAATATTTAAAATTACAAAATCAATCTTCCGAAGAGTAAAGCTCCACAGAGTTAACAAGTATCAAAGCAAATCAGCCACGTTACGCTATTTGGAAAATAACTGAAATCCAGGTCAGGAATTAAATTAAGAATCTAGATATATATATATTGATCGCAGGATTGGTTATTTTGATGTAGGGGTAAAAGGTTAGCCCATTTGAGATCAATTAGGATTGAGTTCTGAGTTCTATCCTCACTGGGTGCTCAGTACCTTCGGCCTTGTGTCATCTAAGTAAATCGCTATAGCTGGAACACCATGTGTGGCAATAATATTCAATGCATGGTCGATACAGTGAAACAACTTTCCTGGCAGCAGTCCTAGTAATTACGACTAATATGTTCTGTTCTTACTGGGTGCTCAGTATTTTTACCCTGTGTCACATCTAAGCTACACTTAGTAAATCGCTATAGCAGGAGCACCAGATTCAATGCATGGTCGAAAGGTAGATTTATAAATATGCAAAATGGATTCTGGCGAGAAAAATTGTTTGACACGACACAATGAAGCAACTTTCCTAGCAGGAGACCTAGCATTTGATTTAAAAATAATCCTTCCACCTCTTGTCGGGTATAAAAGAAAAGCGACAGTTCCTCATAAACGATGTTTATAATGGCTGCCAGGTCTCTGCTTTGAATAGCCTGTCTCTCCGTATAGGTGTCACTAATCAACAGAGAACCCGCAACAAACGTAAAATCTATATATATATACTAACCGAATTACCCGCACATTGCAGCGTCTCGCTAATTTTTTGTAACAAAAAAGATAATTGATTTTAAATCATTGATATAATTTCTGGAGATAATGATGCTTTTCTTTATTAAATATAATTTATCATATATCAAAGGGAAAAAAATTCAGTGGGGGGGGGGGTTATGCCCCCGGAGACCCCCTTTGATCAAAATGAAATATACTTGTCCAAATACTATGAATAATGTAGTTTCAGAATATATATTGTTATGGGAGTCCATCTCCAGAACCCGAGGAGAAATTCGATAATAAACAGACAGACAGAGGCTACTATATATATATATATATATATATATATATATATATAGAGAGAGAGAGAGAGAGACAGGGAGAGAGACAGACAGACAGACAGACAGATAGGGAGAGTGAGAGAAATATGCGAATAATATAGCTAGAAGATATATTTTTGAGAGGCCTACACACTTAAATACACACAAAGATCAATGCTTCTTCACGCACAAAGTTTATTAACATAAGCTAAAAACTTGCCAGCCAGTATCTCAGTATATATATATATATGTATATATATATATATATATATATATATATACACTCAAACACATACACACACAAACACACATACACACACACACACACACATATATATATATATATATATCGTTATTTCTTTGCTATTTCTTACTCTATAATTTAACTTTTGATGGAGCATAATATCGATTCTTTCAGACTACTTCTATCAATTCAATTTTGCTATTAGTAAAAAAAATATATATATATATATATATATATATATATATATACACTTTTTTTTTTTTTTACTTTCACCGAATGCATTATGTCGTGCTTTCTTCTTTCCTGGTTTGGCAACACTTCCTTTCTAGTGATTTTTCATTTCTTACTTCGGAAATAAGTGCGTCTTTTCTTTTTCTGTTCTTTCATTATTTTTCACAGAAATATATTCCACAGTCCGGTGTGCATTGGCAAATTAATAGACATGACGGGTAAAAAGCCGGAATTAATGAGAGACTGAGGATACGAAGAGCATCAAATCTGATCATTCTATTTGGTCAGTCAAAACCGGTCATGGCGATGTGGCATCTGCGAGTATCGAACACGGTACAGTAGGGTAATGTTGAGCAAGACTGACTTAGGAGAGAACACTGTAGAGTAGAATCTCAGATAGATAGATAGATAGATAGATAGATAGATAGATAGATAGATAGATAGATAGAATGAATATGAAAAGATTGAACTAGTTAGATATATAGATACGAAGAGACTTCGATAGATAGATAATGAAGAGACACAGATAGATAGATAGATAGATAGATAGATAGATAGATAGATAGATAGATAGATACCTTGTCATCATGATTTCATGAGAAATCCCTGAAGAAATCCCTCTTAAAAAATGTGGCATCTCAAATGCCATGAATGGAACTGAAGATGACACACGAGGATTTAGTTGCTTCAAGTACGGAAAAAGGCCAAGAATGCGGATATGGTTTGCTTCAAACAGGGAAAATGCTGAGAATGAGTATATGGTTGCTTCAAGCACCAAAAAGCCGAGAATGAGGATATGGTTGCTTCAAACACGGAAAAAGGCGGAGAATGCGGATATGGTTACTTCAAGCACGGAAAATGCCAAGAATGATATATAGTTGCTTGAAGCACCGAACAAGCCGAGAATGAGGATATGGTTGCTTCAAACACGGAGAAGGCGGGGGAATGCGGATATGGTTACTTCAAGCACGGAAAATGCCAAGAATGATATATAGTTGCTTCAAGCACAGAAAAAGTCGAGAATGAGGATATGGTTGCTTCAAACACGGAAAAGGCCAAGAATGCGGATATGGTTGCTTCAAGCAAGGAAAATGCCGAGAATGACTATATAGTTGCTTCAAGCACGGAAAAAGCCGAGAATGAGGATATGGTTGCTTCAAGCACCGAAAAAAAGGGAATGAGGATATGGTTGCTTCAAACACGGAAAAAGGCCGAGAATGCGGATATGGTTACTTCAAGCACGGAAAATGCCGAGAATGAGTATATAGTTGCTTCAAGCACCGAACAAGCCGAGAATGAGGATATGGTTGCTTCAAACACGGAAAGACTAAGAATGCGGATATGGTTGCTTCAAGCAGGGAAAATGCCGAGAATGAGTATAGGGTTGCTTCAAGCAACGAAAAAGCCGAGAATGAGGATATGGTTGCTTCAAACACGGAAAAGACCAAGAATGCGGATATGGTTGCTTCAAACAGGGAAAATGCCGAGAATGGGTATATAGTTGCTTCAAGCACCGAAAAAGCCGAGAATGAGGATATGGTTGCTTCAAACAGGGAAAAGGCCAAGAATGCGGATATGGTTCCTTCAAACAGGGAAAATGCTGAGAATAAGTATATGGTTGCTTCAAGCATCGAAAAAGCCGAGAATGAGGATATGGTTGCTTCAAACACAGAAAAGGCCAAGAATGCGGATATCGTTGCTTCAAGTAGGGAAAATGCTGAGAATGAGTATATAGTTGCTTCAAGCACCGAAAAAGCCGGGAATGAGGATATGGTTGCTTCAAACACGGAAAAGGCCAAGAATGCGGATATGGTTGCTTCAAACAAAGATGAAGATGGTTATATCAAAAGTGTTGATGAGTTGAATGACTACTATAAAATAGACAATAATGAAAACCTATTAACTGATAAACAAATGAGAATGATATTTGATAGCGATGGTAGTGAAGATGAGTTCTTGGGATTCAGTTGTGAATGAATTTTAAAACTCTAACTTGATATATAAATAGATAAACACTTTTTTCTAAATGTACCAAAACATTTTTTCTTCTGTAGTTATTTCTTACTTTTTTCTTCAGAGTTGACTGAATATAAAAAATAATATGCGGTAAATATAAAATACTGCTACAACATTTACTTACTTTTGTTTACATGATGTTAACGAAATGTATTTTTACTGCAAAAGTGTATCAATAATTGTAAGTTTTGAAATAAAGGTAGAAATAAACGTAGATATCTGATAATTCTTATGTTTAAAAAGGGCGATGTAACTCCCCAGATTATAGTGCGACCCATAAATCATCAATTATTAAGCCATAAAGTAGGGGTGCGACCTATCTGGTGGGACAACCTATCCGCGAGTATATAAGGTAGATAAATAGACTGGGCTAGATATGAAGAGACTCAGATAGATAGATAGATAGATAGATAGATAGATAGATAGATAGATAGATAGATAGATTGGGGTAGATATGAAGAGACTGGAATTGATATGAAGAGACTCGGATAGATAGATAGATAGATAGATAGATAGATAGATAGATAGATAGATATGAAGAGACTCAGATAGATAGATAGATAGATAGATAGATAGATAGATAGATACGCGTCCACATTCAATAAATAGAAAATATATGAATTTATAATTCAGTCAGATAAAACCAATCGGAACCTCGTATTTATTACTTACAAAATTATTCCCGATGTTCACATTTAACTTGAAGGTACGCAAAGAAATGAACAGTTAAGAAAGGGAGATAAATACGTAGATGTCTTCCTGATCTTCGACCCATTCGCCTCGTCAAATCATTAACAATGCATTTATTCGCCGTCTGCTACTTTCTAACGAAATACCAATGTGTAATCAATATTCCATTTTCAATAAAGAGAGATGGGAAAGTATGCCCCATTTATATTATAGACACACTGACTTCTATAATGAGCGACATTAACTTAAGTTATTCATGAAAATATTTGTACTATCAATAAAGAGGATATTTCGTTGGATATGTATAAATTATACATACGATGTGACCTCAGTTTTGTGAATTTCACTGAATTTTCCAAATTAAACCTTATTATCTATCTAAGTTACGGAAGCTCCAAGAGACAGTATTTTTCAAATTTTATTTATAGAATTTAACAATAAGGATTAGAAAATATGTTTAAACAACACGGGCAAGCAATGAAAACCGCGGGAGTAACATAAATGTTTACCATTAACGTTAAGTCGTAATATTCAAATAGAAAAACATAAGATACAAAATAAGAAAATGATGTCTTGAATATTACTGCCATACCTGATCTAATACTCCTGCTATATATTTAGAAATTTTTGGTAAAAATCCAAAGAAGAATCTGCAATGTTATTGGTCCTGACCTGGCATCTTGGCTTTAGTCACTTTCCCACCGCCATAAACTAGCTTCCCTCTGCCTTTACTATAAATATTTTTTATGATAATTTTTCTGGTGAAATTTTCTCTATGGTACCTAAACTTTATGAAATTAAACGCAGTACTAAATTGACGGCAAGGTTTCAGCGTTTTATATAAAAACCGTAAGTTCTAAGCTAACAGTTTCTTAGCTTGCACTTCTCACTTGAGAAACTCGGCTTCTTGCTTTCCAGTTAACTGTGATCTTCAAAAAAACTAAATGCAATATCAATCGTTATCTTCTGTCTTCTCAATTCCTGTTTTTTATTGTTCCTCTCTAAATAATAGTTTTCATTTTGTGATATTCTTTCTCACTCAGTAACTCTTTGCGTCTTAGTGGCTTTAGTACTTTTGCTTGGGGTGAAATGATTAAAAGCTGCTCTACTTCAAATTATTTTTTTAAAAATGGATGATAGATGGACGAAAATGTCTTTGGTGAAATTCGAGGGTAAATCAGAAAGTAAAGAGAATTTTGAAAATTACGCGCTAGAAAAGAAAGATGCCTTTAATGGTCAGTTACCCCCCGCCCACTATATATTTAGAGATTCTTGATAAAATCTGAAGAAGAATCTGCAAAGTCACTGGTTCAGGCATCTCATCTTCAATCCCTTGGTCAAATTAATTGAAAAAAAAAACAATAATTCCGTTATTATCGACATTTTTCTTATTTTTCCAAAGAAACATGAAACATTACCCAGTGTAAATGCTAGACTTCATATATCCATTCCACGAAGTCGTTCCTTGCTGACTGACCACAGATTCTCGATTGGATTTAAATCAGGAGAGTTTCAAGCCAGTTTATAGTACTTTGATTTTCTCACTGGTAAGGCTGACAATTTTCGGACGCTTCCTTGGAGTATCTTCCCTCACAGACAATGGTTATAGGACAACTAATCGACAGTCGGGACAGTAGTACTTAGGGGTGATAAAAAACTGCTGTAATTACGGATGACGCAATATTTTTCAAGGCCAAACAAATTACATCATACACCCGAAAAGCTTTCCTGTTTCAATACTATGATTGTACTTCTTCAGGCAAAGGTAAGTAACCCTTACTTACTATCGCCTAAAGAAAATGGTTAGTAACCCTCACTTACCATCGCCTGAATTACAATCAAAGTATTGAAACATGAAAGCTTTTGTGTAGCGATTTCAAATGTTTTTAATATAATTTTTTATAATAAAAATATAATAATAATATTTTGCTCTACTTTGAGCACTTTAAAAAAACTGGAACTTTACACCATCTGTTCGTTCACTCATTATATATATATATATATATATATATATATATATATATATATATATATATATATAAAAGGCTCAAACACTAATATTCCATGCTTATAATTTATTACGTTGGAATCGTAATCACGATCCAATTTATCAGACCTACAAATTCCTATAAATAATTTGTATACAAATATACAATCCATTACATTCCCTTACGTGGTAATACCCTTGGGAAAAGTATGAATCCTCTTCTCCCTCCAGCTATGGGTAAATAGCAAAACAGACGGGGTTCTATAGCCTGGGATGGCAACTGATCTATAAGAAGAACAACTCTGAATTCAAAACCTGCATACTGTCTTTTGGGGACCTGCGGCACATTCTGCATCAGATCTCTGCATCCGACTCATCAAAATGTCTGATTGGTTCGGCACAAAGCCTTCACTGCTATAATCAAATCATATGCGCAATGGTCTGGCTGACCTAGGAAATGTAGTGCTTAACCCTCATACGTTGAAAAAACGAGGAGGGAGATATATATATATATATATATATATATATATATATATATATATATATATATATCCCATAACAGATCATAGCAGATCTATTGTAGCCTCAAACTCCTGTTTTTTCGGCTTCATTCTCTATATATATATATATATATATATATATATATATATATATATATATATATATATATATATAAATCAGATTATACGATGGTTGCGGGTAGAACTTCCTTACAGTAATTTGATACACCTGATTTTGGATATATGGAGCCTTTTTGACGAAGATTACAATTACTTCATGAAAGACAACCTTGTGAAAGGAAAGAACTTTTCGCATGTCTAGACGTTGAATAATGCCTTTAATTATGCCTGATAGAAATCTGGAGATGTGCGGCTTGTATGGATAGAGAAATCGTACATCGTTCTACTACGTGATTATGAAGAAAGGTAAGTGCAGCTCACAGGCGATTCGGCTTAGTGTGAGATGCATACAAAATTCGCCAAATATCAATCATGGTGTTTCCAAGTTGTTTGACGATCACTCGGTAGACATAAATCTCACACGAGATTATTTTTATAACAGTAATCAAATTTTCAAACTGGTTCGAATATTCTGAGGCTAATATTGCTTAGAAACCTCTTCAGATTCCCAGGAGATATATATATATATATATATATATATATATATATATATATATATATATATATATATATTAAGACATTTTATGTATATACATTCTTTTTTATAAAAGAATATATATTCTTTTTCTTTTAAATTTGTCGGAGGACGAATATTTTCTATGAAAATTTCTCGGTCATTCAGGCCGGTAAATGTTGTTTAATACTGTTTATTATAAACAGAGCATTTACTTAAATATTTGTATCTATAAAAAGAATGTATAAACACAAAAATGTCTTAAAATAATTGTCAGACTTTGTCCATTTCATAATGTGTGACGTTATATATATATATATATATATATATATATATATATATATATATATAAAGAAATATAGTCTTAAGGTGTGCTATATTTATGGAATAAAGTGATCAATATCAGAGATAGAGCGTGTGTAAATATAAAAGTGAACATAGAAGTTAACACTTAGAGGCGACAGTCTGTTTCATGCTATATGCAATCGTCAGGCCACATATGTTGTTATTTTTCTCGGCTATATATATATATACGGGTTAGTGGTGCATCGTGGGTATTCTATTATGGTGGTTATTTTACCGGAAGTCGTTTGTTTATTTATTTGGGTCAAATTATTTTGCTCGTTTTTATTTTTGTTTCTTATTTTATTTATTTATTTATTTATTAACGCAGTAAAAGTTTGTTTATATCACTTATTTAACAGTTTTGTTTTGATTTGAGAATTTAATTAAAGCTATTTGTTCAATTTTGGGGTTGATTGTTGTGGTTCATTCTAACTATTATTTTGGCGGGAACAGGTTTTA